CCAGAACATTGGCGAGCTCATAACATGTGCTTATACAATGCACAATCCACGCCGATAAGCACTGTGTCGAGATAGGCAGGCCTCTCATACGTTCCGCAATGGCAATGAACAGCTGAGGTGTTCTGCGGAACGACCTGGTCCGCTCCAGGTAAAACGCCAATGCCCTTCGAACATCGAGGGTATGTAGGCTGCGGTGATGAGGGTCCGTATGGGGTTTAGGGAAGAACACCAGTAGACAAATGTCCTGTCCCATGTGAAACTGCGATACCACTTTCGGGAGGAATTTGGGGTGCAGCCTCAGTTGCACCTTATCCTTATGAAAAACTGTATAAGGGGGTTCTGAAGTGAGGGCCCTCAATTCCAATACCCTCCTGGCCGATGTGATGGCCACGAGAAACGCCACCTTCCACGAGAGGTGCATGAGGGAGCAAGTGGCTAGGGGTTCAAAGGGGGGCCCCATGAGCTTAGTTAGGACTAGGTTCAGACTCCACGCAGGTACCGGTGGGCGCGAGTAGGGAAACACCCTCTCCAGCCCCTTGAGGAATCGGGCTACCGTGGGGTTGGAGAACACTGACACTCCCAACTCTCCCGGATGGAATGCTGAAATGGCAGCTAAATGCACTTTAATCGAGGCGGGGGCAAGCCCCTGATGCTTGAGGTGTAGTAAGTAGTCCAGGATCGACGGAACTGAGGCCTGTAGAGGCTATATGTGCTGAGGCTCGCACCAGTGGGAGAATCTCTTCCATTTGGCCAGGTAGGTCGCTCTTGTGGAGGGCTTCCTACTACTAAGGAGAATTTGTTGAACCTGGTGAGAGCACCTGTGTTCCGCATCGTTCAGCCAGAGTGATACCACGCCGTGAGATGTAGCGATGACAGGTTCGGGTGGAGCAGGCGACCCCTGTCTTGTGTGACTAGGTCGCGATGGAGGGGGAGGGTGATCGGGTCGGCTTTGGACAATTCCAGCAGGGTCGTGAACCAATGCTGGCGTGGCCAGGCCGGGGCGATGAGTATAATTGTCGCCCTGTCCCTGCGGGTCTTGAGGAGGACCTTGTGGATGAGCGGGAATGGAGGGAAGGCATACCTCAGGCTCCCTCCCCACGGAATCGTGAAGGCATCTGCCAATGATCCCGGGCTGAGGTTCTGAAACGAGCAAAACTGAGGGCATTGACTGTTGTCCTTGGTGGCGAAAAGATCCACCCGGGGAAAGCCCCACCTCCGGAAGATTGAATGCAGGACGTCCCGCCTCAACGCCCATTCGTGCATTTGGTAGGATCGGCTGAGGCGGTCCACTAACCCGTTTTGGATCCCCGGGAGATACGTTGCAATGAGATGGATCGCATGGGCTATACAGAAGTCCCATAATTGGAGTGCCTCGCGACAGAGGGGAGAGGACCGGGACCCGCCCTGCTTGTTTATATAGAACATGGCGGTAGTGTTGCTGTGACCTTCTATGGTGGCGTGGAAGGTCTGACAGGCGAGGCGAACCGCTCTTAGCTCCTTTAGATTGATGTGAAGCAACCTGTCTTCCCTGGACCACAAGCCTTGGGTCCGCAGTTCCCCCAGGTGTGCTCCCCAACCCAGGTCCGATGCATCCGTTACTAACGTCAGAGTGGGCTGTGGGGCAGCGAAGGGGATCCCTTCGCAGACCTGCTGTTGATCGAGCCACCAGCGGAGCGAGCCCAACACCCGATCCGGGATCGTCACCACCAGATCCAAGGGCTCTCTGTTGGGGCGGTACGTTTGGGTAAACCACAACTGCAAGGGCCGGAGCCTTAAGCGGGTATGCCTGACTACATGTGTGCAGGCTGCCATGTGTCCCAGGAGCTGCATGCAACGCCTTGCCGTTGTCGTGGGGAACTTCTGGACTGAGCTTACGGCCCTCTGTATTGTCAGGAACCGCGACTCTGGGAGGCTTGCCCGCTCGGTCACCGAGTCCAGGACTGCACCTATGAAGTCCAGTCTCTGTGTGGGGGCTAACGTGGACTTGGGTACGTTGACCAGGAGGCCGAGCCTGCCGAACATCTGTAGAGCCAGCATCACGTGAGAGCGGACCTCGGCCTCCGACCTGCCCGCGAGGAGCCAGTCGTCCAAGTACAGGAACACGCGCATCCTTCTTTTCCGAAGGAAGGCTGCTACCACGGACATGCATTTCGTGAATACTCGTGGTGCTGATGCCAGGCCAAAAGGCAGGACCGTAAATTGGAAATGGTGCCGGTTGACAGTGAAGCGCAGGAACTGCCTGTGGGCCGGATTGATAGCGACATGAAAATAGGCATCTTTCATATCGAGGGCAGCGTACCAATCCCCCGGATCCAGGGATGGGATAATAGTTCCAAGGGAGACCATACGGAAGCGCGTTCTGACCAGAAACTTGTTTAGGGTTGCTCGCGAGTCCTTAAGGCTATGTAGCCTGGCGTCCGTTTGGACAGAGAACAAGCCCGAACCTTCAAACGGGAGGTCCTGCAGGGTGGTCTGTACTTCTGGCGGAAGGCCTGAAGCCTGTAACCATGCCGAACGCCTCATCACTATCCCTGACGCGACTGTTCTAGCCGCTGCATCGGCTGAATCGAGGGAGGCCTGCAATGAGGTCTTGGCCACCGCCATCCCCTCGTCCACCAGGGCCGTGAACTCAGGATGTGCGTCCTGAGGTAGGGAGTCTTTGAACTTGGAACTGATGCCCAAGAATTAAAATTGTGCCTATTTAGAATCGCCTGCTGATTAGCGATCCTCAGCTGGAGGCCCCCAGACGAATAGACTTTCCTTCGAATAAGTCCAATCGTTTTGCCTCCTTGCCCTTGGGCGCAGGGGCTTGCTGGCCACGATGCTCTCGCTCGTTGACCGCCGAGACCACCAGCGAACAAGGAGGCGGGTGTAAAAAGAGGAAGTCAAACCCTCTAGATAGGGCGAAGTATTTTCTCTCCATGCCTTTTGCAGTTGGTGCACTGGAGGCCGGTGTTTGCCACACCGTCTTATAGTTGGACTGGACTGTCCGTATAATCGGGAGAGCGACTCTGGAGGGCCCCTCCGGGCTCAGGATGTTGACCATGGGGTCCTCCTGTTCTACAGTCTCCTCCGCTTGCAAGCCCAGATTGAGGGCTACCCGGCGAAGCAGGTCTTGGTGCGCCCGATGATCAATCAGGGGAGGGCCGGACACTGTCGTGCCCGCTACTGCCTCGTCCGGCGAGGAGGAAGAGGTCGGGGCCTTTTGTCCATCCTCACCTTCCTGCAACCCTTCATCGCCTGGTTGTTCCTCTGGGGCCTGTCCCACGGTATGGGACTGGGACGGTACCGTGCTCGGTGCCGAGTCCACTCCCTCCCGCTCCTGCGGTCTAGAGACCGTTGCCTCCTTGTGAGAGGGCGGGCGGTACCACGGAGAGCGGGATCGGTACCCCGATGGCCCGGATCTCAAGGTCCTGGATGGGGGCCCTTGCTGGTGGTAGGCCCAGGGTGTCCAGAACGGCCATTGGCTTGGTTGGCCCCATTGGGGATGGCCAGAGGCTTCGTAGTCCCTACTAGCCTGTGCCCTATGGGCATACCCGCCGTACCGGCCCGAGTCAGTCTCCGACACCACGGACGGTGATCTGGAAGGCCACGGCGGAGCCGTAGAACGTTGCTGGTCCGGGTTTGGGGAGTAGTGCCTCCGCGACCTGGACCTGGATCGGTACCGGTGACCACAGGACCGGGAACGACTACGGGTGGTCAGTCTCGGGGAACGTACCGCCGACGCATCCCGGTGCCGACTCGAGTATGGCTGCTGAGTCAGTGCCGACCGCTTACTGAGGCCCGACTGCTGCGGCGCTTTCTGCGCGGAGGGCAACCAGGAGTCCATCGAGGCGGAGCTCGACCGGGACCGGTGCCTTGAACAGTGCCGAGATGGCGACCGTGATGGGAGCACCATCGCCGGCTTGCCTCTGTGTGGCAGTCTCGGCGGAGCGTCCTCAGTTTGTGGAGGGCCCTCAACGGACAATGCAATGAGGTCCTTTGCTGCCTCAAATGTGTCCGGAGTGGAGGGCTGTTCCAAGAGCTCCTCCAGCCCTTCTTCCTCACTCGACGCGCCTATCCCGGGGCTCGACGGGCCTTTCGGCGCCGGAGCCACTACCGGGGCCTGTGCTGGGGCCGTGCCGGCCTTGGGCGCACTCGAGGTCTTCGCCGGCGCTACCCTCTTATGTGGGGAGCGTCCTCGGGCCTTGGGTTGGCCCTTCGATTTTGTCGGCGAAGACGACCGGTGCCGTACATGCCCCCGTTGGGTCGGTGCCGTGGGCTTCGAGTGACCCGCCGGCGCCGGTTCCCGCACCGATGCCGGGGCACTCCGCACTGAGGCAGACGGTGCCGCCGAAGTGGAGGGCTGTAACGCTGTCTCCATGAGCAGCTGCTTGAGGCGAAAGTCTCTTTCTTAGTTCTGGGCTTAAAGGCCTTGCAGATCTTGCAGCGCTCTTTCTGGTAAGCTTCCCCCAGGCAGCGGAGACACGAGTCGTGGGGGTCGCTCAATGGCATAGGCTTACGGCACGTGGCACAAGCCTTGAAGCCTTGGGCGTGCGGCATGCCCCGCCACCCAGGGCCGGTGCCGGGGTTGACCAAGCAACCACGGCAGGAACTTTAAGTACCTAATGAGCTGTTAACTACTAAGCTTAACACTAACTACTAAATAACTGATAACTGTTGTAGATACCACTAATGACTATGCTAAGGGACACTCTCAGACGAGAGACACAGTTGTTCCAACGCCGCCACGGACGGTAAGAAGGAACTGGAGGGGTCGGGTCGGCAGGGATATATATACCGTAGAGCGGGGCGCCGCTCTGGCGGGAGGGAGGGGGCCCTGCCGGCCCGATGGGAGCCGCTAAGGGAAAAAGTTTCCGACGTCCGTGCACGCGGCGCGCGTACACCTAATGTGTAATGGACGTGAACAATCACTCGAAGAAGAACCTTCCTTTCTCCCAGAAATAGAGGCAACATGACTATATATCCAGACTCAAGCACCCTCTGCAGCTAAGGGAAGGCATCTCCAATTCCCACTCCAAGCAAATTTGACATGCCACTTCCATTAAGAGTAGAGATCAGCTCCAAGACTGACTTCATTCTGTGATATTGCAACAGTGCTAGTTCACAAAGAATTCCCTGTGCTATAACATCGCTCAAGCTATTTAAATACCTATATGGCCTTCCATCACCCTGGTATGCAAATGCTGAGACAAAGAGGAATAAGAGGCAATGAACTCAAGCCAAATTGGTTTGCAACTGTCTGTTGCCCATCATAAGGAAAAGCATCTTTCCCTTGCAAATTGGCATTCAAAGAGGGGGAAAAAAATAAAAAAATATTCTGCATGCAACAAATTTGTAATGAGTAAAATTTTTAAAATCCCCATTGTGCCACTGTTGTAGCTAGCTTGCATATTAGCTCACAGAAGCCTTCAACTTCTCTACAAGAGTTTGTAAAACAGATAGATAAGCTTCATATGCTTGTGAAAGCACAGTCTGGAGGAGAAGAATGGGAGAAAGGAACTCCTAAATTCTAATTCTAATTCCAACTCTGTCAGCAACATGTTTTGTGGCCTTCAGGCATGTCACTTTACTGCCATGTCTTGGCAGTAAAACAGTGATACTTATCCTGCGAGAATGTTGAGGGGACTAAACACTGCAGATAAATGTTTTACAATGGTTTGTAAGATATGGAGCTCTATATAAAGGCTCAGGATTATAGCAGGTACTGGTTGAGCACATACTAGGTTTGCGCCACAGCTCAGAGAGCCGAGATATAGTTAAAGCTAAATTCCATTTCCTTTTAGAACTGCTCTTGACTCTCTCACTAACTCTTTTGAGGGTAAGTATTTCCCATGGTTGGGCTCTATTCTGAGGTGACACTATTTTTTGAATCAATGTAGAAATGATCCAATTGTTAAAGGTACTGAAATAATTTTTTTAACTTGTCTTTTTGTAGATTCTCAGCTTTTAAAGTGTGCATTTATTGTATGAGAATTTTAGTTTGTATTTTAAGTTTAATTATCTGACATTTATAATGATATGAAGAGAAGTCACATTTTAAGGCATAAGCATAAAGGTAAGGTTCCATTCTCTGAGCTTCCTATGTGAGTGCTAGATTTCTGAGTCTTAATATTACATCAACACTAGTTATTTTGTGCACAGAATTATTTTTTCTTCCAAGAGCCACACTACTGAAATTACTCCACCATTCAAATTAGTCTTATCAAGTTACTGTAAGGCCCACTTCAGAAGGTAACATTTCCCCACTTCAGTGACTTAACAGGAGCTTACCGGGTTCAGCATTCAAGCGGCAACTGTTAAGGAACTCAGCTGTGAAATAAATATCAACATCGCAGAAGAACATTAACACTTCGCCTTTTTCCCAAGCTCTGGCACCCATGTCTAGTCCTCGCCCACGATTAAATTCCTCATTCAAAGAGACCAGTGTGTAATTGTGAAAATTAGTTTCTCTATAAAGAAAAAAGTGAAAACAATTTAAATAAAGGAGTGTGGAAAAAGGATGGCATTTACAGTGCTATTAATTGCCACTGTAGTATAAATTGGCTCTGGATAGTTATTTAAAATGTCTAATAATATCAATCTTACTGTTTTTTCTCATGCATTTGGGATGCTGCAGCATTAAGCATTGTCTACGTTTAATAATCCAATCTACAAGTTGCAGAGAGAGAGAGAGAGAGAGAGAGAGAGAGAGAGAGAGAGAGAGAGAGAGAGAGAGAGAGATCTGATCCCTGCCACCACCGTCTAATGCAGTAACATTTCAAATACAGTAGTTATCCAGACAGATTAAAAGGGCGCTTTGAGCCTCTGATGCCACTAACTCCAGGAGCAGCTGTGGATTGAAAGGCACTTCTAAATTGTCTCAGAGGATTCTGGAAGCGGGACGCTCAGTCTCAAGAGCAGAGCACACTGGGAAATCAAACTGCACTATCTGATGGCTGGAAGTGAGGCAATAAGCTGCAAGTTGTCCATGTTAATGTCACCGCTGCCCAGTCAACTCACTATCTCCCCACCAGCCTTTCACACACATTAAAGAGAAAGGAATGTGGAAAAGAGCTATATAGAAGCACACGAGAAGCATATCTGGGGGAAATGAGCAAATGCCCCAAAATACCATCTTGAATCGCTCAGAAAGTAAATTTTGGAAACATGTGAGAACAATACTTTCTAACCTAGCTGGGGACCCACTGAGTCAACAAAACCTAGTCTGAAACAGATCACTCATCTGTGAAGAAACTGGAGGGGCCTCAATGAGGAAAAGTCAGTTTCCCAATAGAAAAACCAGTGTTCTTCACACTGACAGCCACCTGACAGTTCTGCTCTGAGGTTTTGCAGATGAAGCAGTGGAGGAAAACAAACACTCCTCAACCTCTGTGCATCAAGCAACCCTCTCATGGTGCCGTTTCAAGCCATCTGCACTATAACCTTTGGCCAACAGGTTTCATCATTTATTTACAAAGTGATCCATGGAAAGTTATGTGCAAGTAGGGGACATATTGAAGGCTGAGAACAATAGATGAACTGCTCAGGCTAACAGATTGAGTGGCCCTCTGGCAGCAGGGTACTGTGTTAATTTTGTCACAGGTGACCAGCCATTTCTACTCACTATCATTAAATGAAATCGGTTACCATTATTTGGGACATATAATAAGTAGCATATTGTATCCATAATTTCACCTTTTTACACATTTAATTTTCCAGTCAGCATCAGTTCATGTGAGCCAGTATTTACTACAAAACTCACCACTGTATTTTATACTATCCATTGCCAACCATTAGTGGTTCACTCCTAATCTCTCAGCTATGCATTCTTTCAGACCCAGAATATTCAAATGATCACCCCACAAAAATAGAGAGTCTTTAACAACCACAAACAATGCTAAGAAGAATCAAAATGATGAACAACATACTGTCTGAAGGTAAAATGAATTTTGTTTGGCTGTGAGTGACTCACCAAGTTCTTTCTCACTATTTGTGAGGTTTTTTTTAAACTGACCAATAAACATCACTTGTATTTCAGAGCCTTCTATTTGGATTAGCTCACTTACCGAGCTACTGACTCCAGGATGCTCCTCACTTCAGATAGCCCATCTTGGCCGAAGTATACCACTGTGAGGTGAATCCGCTTGTCCTGATGAATACACACATCCCTATGATAAAGATGAGTTAATATCCATTATTATATTCTAGCAAGGGCTCTCTCTCAAGTGTTTTGAAGTTAGTGGGCAAGCAAATTATTTTCCCACAAGCTTTTTGATTTTGACAATGACTACCCCGCTTAAAGCAATTTCACGTCACGTGGAGCTAATGTATATGGTATATTTTATAAAATCACCTCTTGCCAAATAAAAACCAATTAGGTGAAGTTATTCACTATTATAATTCACTACAGATAGTGCAATAGTTGACATTAATCTTGCTGTAAAAAGTTTTAAAAGACTTCATAGCTCATCTAGCAGCTTTTAAAGAGAGAAACACATTAGTTCTCCTGTGCCCCATCTTTCGGATTCAAATAGGTCAACCACGCCTGCATCTTATTCCTGATAAGGTAGCTCTAAAGCCAATACATCCACCAAAATTGTGCAATTAAGCATTAGATCTCCAGTGGCTCTGCCATTCTTAATCTAGGTTGGAGTCCTAGCTAGAGTGCTTGGTTTGTGTTTTAGTGTAAAGATAAGGAAGAAGATTGTTTGAAGAAACATTTCTCCATGCAGCAGTTAGTATTCCATAACATTTCTATGCAAATTATAGTACTGAAGTAGAGCTAAGTTCCATCAAAATAGGTTTTCACTTTGATAAACTAAGGAAAAGCTACACACTTCAATTTAGACTCTGATGCACTTACCTAAAGTTTTGCATGAATTGTGCAAATGCCTCAGTTCTTCCAGCAAGAGGGACAATGATGTTAATAACTGATCTGGAAATGTCAACTGTTTCACTCTTCACTTTCATGAGGGGTCCAAATGGTCGGAATAGTGTGACATGTCTGTATTCCATAACATCGGTCTTCTTATAAAACAATTCATACTGTGTTCCTTTATCTTTCTCTGTGCGATAATAACCTGAAGTTATAGAAGGAATTTATCAAGTCAAAAACATGAGATTCACGGAGACATTTAGCTATTAATTGTAGTCACACCACTTGATTTCTATCAAATTATAAAACAGTATAGAAAAATTAAGCTAGTTGGTAAGTGTTTTTTGTTTATTCAAAAAAGAAAGAGGTTTTGGGTTTTCATCAAAAAGCACAAAAAAAATCCAAGAAAACCTAAAAAGTTATATCAAAAACAAACATTTCCCAAAGAAACTTCTATTTTGACAAAAAACCCATTTTCACTGGGGGGAGAAGGGTTCATTAAAGAATAGAGATTCAGGAAATAGTGAGTAAGGATACTGCAACACATGACACTCTTTGGTGAGCTAGAAGGTACATACCAAACCCAGGAGATCCATGTAAACCTTATGCACCCTCTCTCTGCCCCAGGCCAGTTGGTTCTAAGAAGTTGCTGGGTCACAGACCATGACCACTCTTTGTGAGGCCTCTATTGGGCTGACTAATCTTGGCCTCAGATAGTAGCGCATCATATAAGCACATGCAGCTACCAGTGTTTAACAGCTGTTAACTGAAGGAAGCTTCTGGAAGTTTACAGGCTGGTAATTTCTGTTGCCACAGCAACAAAAACAGAGCTAATCACAATGGGTTTTACAGACTCAAACCCCCCTGTATTATGATCTCAAAACAGGTTCTGCAAGAATTAGAGTTGGCTTTCAAAACGATGAGGATTGGCACCAGATATCAAAAAGTTTGTCAACTTTTACTACTTCCCGGGCTGAGTCCCACATTGAGGAACAATCAAAGTAACTTTTGCTGCTTTGTTTGTGGCAGTAGTTTTGACTCTATATAATCCATTTTAAAAGAAGATTAACATTTTAAATAATTTTACTGACTTCATAGAATTTGCTCTTTTGAAACAGAGATTATACCTTGACAAACCTGATATTTGGAAATTGGCTAATTAAATCAAAACTATCTGTCATGGAAAACTGTGTTGCTATTTTAATGACTGAGGTTCGATGTATAGAAGGTTCTACATAAGAGAACAAGCAGTTTTATTTTTGGAGGAGTTCTGGCACATTTTTAATCTTCAGAGTATAAATCCTTCACTGCATATAAACATTGGAACTCTTTGCACAAAATAAGAACAACTATTAGAAATGGTTACTGATGATTAATTTGATGAGCAAATAATGTAATCTGATTAGGCGCTGACTAGCATAATATGAAAGACACATAGTAAACCCATTCCTAAAATCAGTTCCAGTGGTCGTGCCTCTCAAAGTAACTTATTCCCTCTTCACACAAGTTTAGAGAGGGATAGCTGCATGAAAGAGCACTGGCATCAACCTGGACTAGGCCCTCTAACAAATACTGGATGGTCCTTAATTGTTAAAACTGAATCTTGGGTTGCCACTAGCCACTGTTTTCTCTATCCAATAAGTGGGGGTGTACACTTTCGCCCTATGCAGCCTACCTACCAAGGGAAAGAATGAAAATGAGCCTCTGAGCAGTCACCCTTTAATAACTTACATTTAAGGCCTGTCAAGAAACAATGCCAGAGCAAGTAGCCTCAGTAATTCTAGCACACACTGCCTGGGGAGCACCAGAACTAGTTCTAACAGGGTTGATCAGACACCAAAGTGTCTCAAACATAGGAGGGTTAGGACTTTCTAGGATTGCAAATCGGTTCTGTTCCTGTAACCAAGAGCGCCTAACTTAACTTGCAGTGAAGTTTAAGATCAGATGAGACTAAAATTCTCTAATTCTTTGTTCCAACTGCTAAATATTTTTTTTTTAAGAAGGCTGTCAGTCTCAGTGGTCAAAAGTTATTAACAGTGTCTCAAACTCAAGACAGTTAAGTCCAAAGCAGACTGCAAAAAGTTACAAAGGGATCTCAGTAAACTGGGTGACTGGGCAACAAAGTGGCAGATGAAATTCAATGTGGATAAATGCAAAGTCATGCACATGGGAAAACAATTCCAACTATACATACAAAATGACGGGATCTAAATTAACTGTTCCCACTCAAGAAAGATCTTGGAGTCATTGTGGATAGTTCTCTGAAAATGTCAGCTCTATGTGCAACGGCAGTCAAAAAAGCTAACAGAATGTTAGGAACTATTAAGATAGGGATCGATAAGACAGAAAAATACCAGAATGCCGTTATAGAAATACATGGTACAACTACACCTTGAATACTGCGTGTAGTTCTGGTGACCACATCTCAAAAGAGATGTACTAGAATTGGAAAAGGTACAGAGAATGGCAACAAAAATGATTAAAGGTATGGAACATACGAGGAGAGATTTAAAAATTTTCAGCTTAGAAAACAGAAAACTAAGAGGATATGTTGGAGGTCTATAAAATCAAGAATGGTGTGGAGAAAGAGAACAGGGAAGTATTATTTACTCCTTCACATAACACAAGAACCAGGGGTCACCCAACAAAATTAACAGGCAGCAAGTATAAAACAGACAACAGTATTTCTTCACACAGTGCACAGTCAATCCATGGAACTCACTGCCAGGTGATGTTGTGAAGGACAAAACTATAACAGGGTTCAGAAAAGAATTAGATAAGTTCATGGCGGATAGGTCCATCAGTGGTTATAAGACAAGTTGGTCAGGGATGCAACCCATTGCTCTGAGCGTCCCTAGCCTCTGATTGCCAGAAGGTGGGCGCAGACAACAGCAGATGGATCACTTGATGATTGCCTGTTCCATTCATTCCCTCTGACGCCCCTGGCATTGTCCAAAGTTGGAAGACAGGCTACTGAGCTAGATGGACCAATGGTCTGACCCAGTATGGCAATTCTTATGTTCTTATATTCAGTTCTTATATCCAGACCTGTAGGATGATATATACTTGATAAAACTGGTGCACTACCCCGTATGCAAGACAGGAAGAATCATGCGATTCCAGCTGAGACCACTCTAACAGCACGAGGCCTACCACCTGAGCTAGTGCAGTGTGAGAAAACAAAGGGGACAAAGCTGCGACTAGCCCTGGAAGCATGACACCCTCAGTGACCTCTTTTACAAGCACCAAAGCATTTGACCCTTAACATTTAATTTTTGCAATACTAGTGCATAGTAGCTAGCGCTCTCACTGTTTCTGTAAGTCTTACGTTGTTTTCTCGGGATATAGTCACTGTTTAATATGGGTTGGATCACCCTTCCCCAGCACTCCCAAAAATAAAAAAATAATTAAATTAAAAAAAAAAAAGGGCTCTGAAGCAGACGACAATATTCAACACATCCTTAAGGACCAGGGAAGGACAAAGGTAAAGCTAGTTACCCAAACATATGGTGGTGACAAAATAGTTGATGTACAACTCAATTTTTAAGTTGTTTCTTTCAAACGAACAAGTCAGTATGTTGCTTTTGAGATACTTTCAGAAAAGTGCTAGGTAAGATGATTTACTAGTTTTGTGCCATTAACAAATCCGTACATTCTCTCTCAAATGCATTGCGGGTAGAACTTTGCTCCTGGGATGAACAACAGAAGGAAACATCCTCAGTTTCAAGACCATACAAAAGCTACAATGCTTCACTAAATTCCACTCCAGACCACTTCGATGTTTTTATTTATATAAATATAAAGAAAGAGGCAGAGGAGAATTAAGGGTGAAGCAATCTACAAAATCAAATTCGTATGTGGGGAGAAAAAAAGACCCCCCCCCAAAAGTCAAAACAATGGTGCAGTTTCAGTTGTAAAAAGTCTGAAAATCCTAGAATATGCAATTAATTTGTTATGTAGGTCTGCAAAAATGGCATATATTAGTGTAATAAGATTAACAACAATACAGAGCTTCTATAAATAGTTTGTGATCACAAAAGCATAATCAAGTCCAATACTATGATTGTATATTAGACCTTACACATCAATATGGCACTTTCAAAAAACACCGCATAAATTCACTCTCTACAGAGAAGGAAACACTGTGTTTAAGTGTAACAGGACCATTTTGAAAAATTAGCAGCTATTAACTCCATTCATTAATTAATTCCCCTCCTTCCTAACCTTCCCACCATACCCATCATTTTGTATTTACTGCTGCTTAAGTAGTTAACTGTTTAAGGAAGAAGTTGGTGACCCAGAATTAGCAAGCATATTTGCTAAGGATTCTCACATCATCATCTGCTAATATTTCACACCTCTAACGTTAAATATTATGCTGCATGCTATCAAAAAATTGGAATTCCCAGCTTTTAAAATAATACACAGCATGTGCTCCTGGCTCTAGTGGCCATGACAGATTTTGGATTTGAAGAGGAAAAACCCAAAATGGTAAACAAAGTGACTGGATTTGAAAGTCACTTGTTAAAAGCTTAAAAAAAAAAGGCATTTTCTACCACAGGAAAGTTGGGATTTATGATGTTACAGGTTTTAAACACAGTCCAAGGACAAAGATATCAAGACCTATACTACTGCAACATTCATGTTAAAAATTCTTAAAATTTGTTTGGAGCCTTGAAAGCACACACTTAACGCATTAACTGCCAATCCTTCTCCAATTATAAATCCACAATTCCTCTTCCTCTCCCAGCTTTAACAAGCATCTCACCTTCTCCTACACTGAATCTTTTTGCTCTTTAGTTTTAGTGAAAGCAAGACAAGGTATAGCCCATAAGGCTTGGTTTGAGTAGCTATTCTACCCCATCCAAACTTCTACACATACTCACTCCCATTGATGAACAGCACGGAGTGATCTTAGGGCACAAATTCATCTATCCCAAGAAGCATTGATAATTATAATTCCTCTTGACTTCTACTGGCAACCCCAATTAAAAGTATGTGAACATATGCTTAAGAGAAAACATTTGCAAGATTTGTGCAAGCTTTACAAAGGTAGCAGGTAATGCTTCTTAGCAATAAAAATGTGTTTGATTATGTAGAGTAAACAGTTTCACTCAGCGACCATACAAAGACTAAGAAAAAAAAAAAGAGACAGTAAGTCATACTAAATGAAGATAAATTCTATATTCCTGTGCTCACCATGGG